TAAGGACAATAATGGGTGTTGAGTGTCACCAAGCAASAGAACAGATGTCAAGCAATTGTCAGCGAGGACATTATTATGGCTCATAAGTTGCTATTGCACCAGACAGTTCTGAATGTTCACTGAGAATAATGGGTACTGGGMGCTTTAAAAAGGACAACATACCTCCAAAAACCTCCCAAAAAAGGAGTTGCGTCATATACTGTTAAAAGTTTAATTAGCCCCCCAAGTTTCTTTGTCACTTCATTCTTTAGTGTTTTCTTTMGTTTGTTTATGGGGCTCAAAAACAGTTAATGTTGTTTATGTGGCTTTTAATTATGTTTAAATATTATTTTTGTTCCAGAGATGAGAATTACAGCTAATCACTGAAGGATCAGCCATCAAACAGTTGCATTGTTTTGACAAATCGCTGCACAGTTGTGTCACACAGGACTCAACTTAAGCTAGGATAGCTTATGCTAAGCTAAGGTAAAGGCCTGTAAGACCCCATTTTGTAATAACGCATTATGTAATAATGTAATAAAATTAGGCTTCAAAATGTAATAAACGTGCGCTAAAACCGCATTATAATAATTGACGCAAAATGTAATAAAAGTCTTCAACGCATTTTATAATACTCGTAGCCGCATTATGTACCAACGTTATTACATTTTGCTGCAACTGTTACAAAATGTGGTGGTGTAATGATCTGGTGCATTATGTAATAAACAATCTAAAATCAGTATTTCTGTTCATCCTAATCAATATACTTGTAATAACTGTCGTGTTGCAAATACTACATATTTAAATCTTTATAACTTTGGTCAATAAACACAGAACTTCTCATCTTTTATTTGCATTTTCATTCAAATTCTTGTGTAGTATTCTAAAAGCCGTTCAAGGCAGAGCAATCAAGACATGTAAAACTTTTTTTCCAACACATTGGCTTTCAGAATAATTCAAATCTATGCTTTAAAAAAGCAAAAAGGATAATGTTTCTGTTGGTATTATATGATCCAACAGTTTAATGCAAACAGAATCCCAACAATTTCCTGGACTTAAATAATGTGYAATATTAGTCAATCTCTTGTAATTAAAAAGGAACACATTAAACTATATAAACATATTTGTCTTACTCAGAGCAGTGCAAGAGTTTCCACTAGTTCGAGGACAAAATCACGAACTTGAATCCATAAGAATGCAACACAGCGTCAATATGAAAACTGAACAGCAGGGGGCGCTTCTGTGAAGACTGCTTTTAGAGCGCAGGTACGTCTCTTTATTTAGATGTCCTGTCAAAAATGTAAGATGCAGCCTCACCTACAATTCATGTTTCAATACAACCATGTCAAGTTGTAAGAACTGTCCGTAATTTACACAGATTTTATGTCATTTTGCAGGTATATGGATGTATAGAATCTAAAGGATTTTTTTCGTGTTTTATGGAATCTTTCAAAAACTTGGTTTCTAATTTATTCAACATGCCAGAGCCTTTAGGACGTTAAAAAACAAGTATTTATATCAAATATCCACTTCCAACCCACACTACTGCTAGAAATAAGTTCTTCAACCCTCATTTCCTTCTGATATTGCTACAGCTGACAGTCCGCCAGCACCCTGCCCCCCCTCCCCTTCACGGTTGATGGTCCACCAG